GTATGTTTGCAAATATGATGGTGTGCATCGCTGCTGGTCGGTTGAGCCTACGTCCAATCTGCTGAAGACTTTTTTTTTTAGTTTTGTGTTCCCTCCTTTTTCTGTATCTTTGCTAAAAAAGCAGAATACTAAGAAATACTGGTTTTTAAATGAAACTTTTTGTGTATTCTTATTCCACTTCCCTGCAAAGTGTTTTTATATGTGGGGTGAAGGAATTCTTTCTCACTTACTGAAATGGTGGTAGAACTACCTTTCCAGGGGAACGAGTGGAGAGCAAAGAGTTCAGGTGGGCTGGGACGTTCCAGGGGCTGGCTGAGTTGCAGCGTTCCTGCTGGGAAATCAGTCTCTATTTGATCTTAGTTCCTCCGAGACCTGACAGATTTGTAAGCCGTAGCCTTTAGTTGCTGCTTTGATTGTGAGTGCAGAGTGCTGGAACAAGGTTTTGCTCTCAAAACAGAGAGAAAAGAGCAAGAATTAAAAGTGTGTGTAAGGAGGCAGGGGAAGAACCAAGGCCAAGTGTAATTCCAGCCAGTGGGAAGGACACAACTGAAAACTTGAGGAGCTTTAAAAAAAAAAATTGCTTAGGCCATGTTAGCATGGGGGTGAGACAGTGGGGCTTCTCTGGTGCAAAAAAAAAAAAAAAATGCTTAGGCCATGTTAGCATGGGAGTGAGACAGTGGGGCTTCTCTGGTGTAGCTCTTCTCAGTTTCTAGCATATGGCATAATATTGATGACCCTAAATCACTGGAATGCAAATCTCAAGGCAGTGGGAGTGCCACGCAGAGGGAGGTAGCTGTGGCGTTTACTTTGAGTGATGGGGAGGAGAGGAGCCTTCCTCTTACAGTAAACTGGCCCAACATATAGAGAGGCTTGGAGCTCCCGCACACTGTCCCCCAACTTGAAAGCCCTATGGAGATGGATCAATTACTGTGCAAACACGAGCTGTGCCTTGGAAAGATGCTGGGGAGATCTGTCCCTTCATGCCAAGCAGAATATCGCCCCTCAGGTTTCCCTTGTTGCTTTCATTTGGCATTTGGACTTTTTAAAATCCCTTAGCCCCAGTGTGGACACAGAGTCACTAGCAGTGGAATTGTTCTGGAAAAATCTCTTGCTGCTGTCATTTGTTCCCTCTATTCCTCCACAGGGTTTTTGTCAGTTAGTCTCCACTTTGCTATCTGTTTCCTCCAAAGGGAATTACTTGAATTCAGCAGCTTGAGACAGTTAACCGTATAAAACAAAGTGTTGTGTAGGTGGCTGGATTAATCTAGCCTGTATCTCCCCACCAGCATTCCTACTGGACAAGAGGTGGCATATGCTATGGCCAGTCTGGAGCCACATGTTTCTGATTTGTTCGGCAGGCTCAGGCTATATATGTTAGCGAGGTTTTTCCAGCATTTGTTTCTGTTGGGAACTAATTTAGAGGTGTTTTTCCTGTGCTCAATTGCTGATTTTCATTAAACTTTTAAGAACCTAAAAGATATGAGAAAACTGCTCTCAAATTAAGCTGATGTTGGCCCACACGCTCAAAAGTTTGGTGGACTCTGAGTACAAGCTTTGAAAATAGGCACTGTTGCTCTGGTGGATCTTGGCAGCCTTGGGGTGGAGGTGAAGAGATAGAGGTAAGGTTTAGTGCCCGGTTTTTGTTCTTTCGTGTTTTAGTTCGTGCCTGGAAGGTGGATGTGGTGGTGTCCAGCCTGAAACTCTGAAGTCATCTGCTAGAACTTGTGATGCTGCCATATGTTTGTGAGGGTCAGGGCTTTTCCCACAACTTCGGTTACCACAGCAGTGCAATTGTGCGACAGCATCAAGGATTTTTTTGGGGGAAATCCTACTGGCAGAAAAAGTCTGGAAATTTGAATGCTAAAAGCAGTAAAAAGGCAACCTCACTATTTTGGTTGCTACAAACCAATTTTAAGGGGGTTGGGACAATCAATCTCGAGTTTTTGGGGACTTGCAGTAGTGTGGCTCTGTAGCTCCTCAAGCTGTCAAAATCCTTCATGATTTTGCCTGTGGCTGCATTCCACTTGCAATACAGTTTTATTAAGATACTTACCTTTGACTTGTCATAGTCATTGTGATTGTTCATAGTTCTGTTTTGTGTAGCTCCTGAAATACTGTTACTTTTCTTTACTTGGAAGTGGCCAATTGCTTTGAGACCGGCAATTAAAATGCCTGTAAAATGTCTTTGAATTGGAGCGACTGTTGGTGCTGAGCAGACTGTGAAAGCACACAAGTTGAAACATTTCTCATAATGTTCTTAGCTTTTTTTGAAAAACGATTACACAATTCCAGGAAATGAAATGCAGCATTTCACACTGAAAATAACTGGGTTTAAATAGCGGAAAACAAAGAGGAGGAGAAATAAGATGAAGAAAAGTTGGGAGGGGAAAGGAACACATACAGAAAAGAAAAAGATTATGTCCTACCCGAATATTTCAGAGGAGATACTGGCTCTGGTCAACCTAATGGGAATTATTAACCTATCTAAGCCCTAAGTTCTGTAGGCATAGGACATGATCTTACTAAGTAAGTCTGGAAGTTCTTGCATTTTGCCCTCCTTGGCTTTTCCATCAGACCTTAAAACTTTCAGTTTTGGGTCTCACCAAAGTTTCCGTTTGATCCGGTATCTTGTCTGACAAGAGCATAAGCTTAGGGCACACATCCGTGCCTGGGAATTTTACCCAGTTGCTGGTGTCAGTGCTGCACAGACTGGCTGGAGCTGAAGCCGGGACCATCATGTTAAACAGTTGCCGATGGGCCTGTCCTCCATTGTATCGGCAGCTGCAATACAGTTTTGTGGAAATGAATGAAAATTTTGTGTGTGAAAGCTATTACTTTCTGATGTTTGCAATGATGATATCAGATGATACGAATATAAATTGATTATTGCCATATGCTTAAAATGCAAGGTGTAAGGGTCTCCTGTTCATCACTTTATTTCATTTATATTCTAGGAACACCTGAGACCTGCTCAGGACTCAAGATCCCCTTGTTAGTTGTCAAACGTGCATAGAGGAAAAGCTCTTGATACACACTTCAGACCTACAGTTCAGTGTCCTAACGGGTCACAAAGTGTTAGTGACTTCATTTGAATTGCATCTTGAGATGCTGTTTGTTCTTGCAACATACTGTGTGCCAGCGTAATGTTTATTACAAAACACTGTAAATTTAAGCTGGGAAATTCAGAATCTGTGTCCCGCTGATTACCAAATACGTTTACCTCGCTTTTCAGCTGTTGTTAACAACTGTTGGAACAAAGTCAAGGAAACTAGACTTTGTGGCTTGAAGTCTTGTTAAAAGCTTCATTGCAGAAAAAACGTACTAGAAGGGACTGGGAAAGGTCATCTTGCCTGATCCTTTGCCTCTAGGTATTATCTCCTAAGCCTAAAATCTTTAGCAGGTGTTGGAGCTGCTAAGAGCTTTCAGCAAGAGGCATGTTGTAAAAGTAGTCTCTAATCTGTTGCTGTAAATGCACACCGTTTACAAAAAAAGAATTTCTCCATTATGTTTTTTCAACAATTCTGTGTCAGATACTTTTGCTAACCCTTAGTAGGCTTTCAGTATGCACGTAGGTGTCTTTAGTACCTCCAACATTCAGTAAGACGTTTAATGATTTGTTTAATAATTGATCTGTAGCTTTGGGACCATTTAGACTTTTTTTGAGAGATGACAGACAGATGAGTAGAATATATTTAGTTGCTTAGTTTAATCATCCCTATCTGTGAATTTTGTAGGTGAAGGAATGGAGTTAGTGAGGGAACCTATTCTAGAGAATTACCCCCCCCCCCTTAGTAGAAAACTGGAGAAAGCTTTAACCTATTCATTCAGGACTTAAGTGTCTGCAAAGTGTTTTCTGAGCAGTAACAGTCATTACCTTTCATAATTGTGTGCAGTTACACGGACCTTATATTTACATATATTTCCCTGTTAGCCAGTAGATTTAGTTTCTCAGCTTGTTTCCTTCTGTCCTGAAGCTTTTACTGGTGCATTTACATTGTACAGCTAGTGCAGTTACACTTTGATACTGCTTAGTCATTTGAAGTGAGCGTTAGTCTTTAAGCTTGAGGAAATGATCATCGGAACCACAAAAAATGTGTATGTTGAGTCTCAGGTTTTGAAAGGATCACTGGGCCCTGCCCCTTCTTACAGCTCTCTGCTACGGCAACTACGCCCTGTGTTTGTCAAGGAAAACTGTTTCTCACTGTTTCTTTCCAAGTTGGGACTACTCCTGCGTTGGGGTGATGTCTCCTGTTCTGTGAAGTAGTTGCTGGGCTAGTAAAACCTTCTTGAAAAAGACAACCTAGAGATGTAAACCTGGAAAGTCTTAACTAGTAAAGAATTCAGTCCTAGTCAGATACAGCAGAATAACAGGAGTTGTCCTCTTCTAGTCTTGGTTTAAATACTGAGATGCTTTAGTCCTTGATGCTATATGCATATCTACAAAGAATCAGTTTCCTTTGGCAGGTAGTGAGAAGTACCCTTTAATGAGGAAAAACAGGTTGAAAGTGCTTGCTCTTCATCATAATTGATATAAAACTGCTAGGCTCTATTTGATATGACTAGAAATCTGCTGTAATGATATCCCTACCTCTGAAATCCTAGCACTTTTAACTGGTAATAAATTGTATTGCTTATTTGCTTTAAAAAACAAATAAACCAAAGAACCCTAAACCCCAGGTCTTTGCTGGGGTACAAGTTCCTATGAGGGTACGGAACTTCGTATAATTTCAGAGAGAAAACCATATGTTTGGAGTCTTAAACTATGAAAATGGTAGGTATTGGGTACTTCCAAACTAGAAACAAACAAGTACAGCTTGGGGGTTTCTATTAAAAACAAAACAAAAAAATCCTATTGTATGTGTTTACCCAGCCTTGTAATAAAATGTTATGACACACTGCTTTTCCTGATCATAGTAAAGGCGTTTATATAGTGAAACGAATTTGATTATAATATTTATGTGGAAGCTGTGTATAATAGACATATTTTCTTTATTCAACAGGCGATCAGCTGTAAAGGTCAGCACAGTATCTCTTACACATTGTCCAGAAACCAGACTGTTGTAGTGGAGTATACTCACGATAAAGATACAGACATGTTTCAGGTAAGACTATGCAATTTATGCATTGTTTTTTAAAAGCAACATATGGAACTACGGTTCTGCATTATATTCTTCTGGGTATTCTCTGTGGTCTGTGGAATCTTGATGGTTGAACCCAGTTGCATTAATATAGGAGCATTTGAAATTTTGCATTGTCTGCTCTTCTCAAACCAGCGCCAGCATCTGTTAATATCCTTACCGCCTTACCGCTTTCACTGTGCTCTGCTTTTTCTGCAAGGACAGCGTAGCAACTGTACAAATAGAAAGAAATGTGTGCTCTGTTTGGATTCATGAATACGCACAAGACAAAAATACACCCCCCACTCTCCAGTTAACCAAGCAGCTGGAATAAAAAGGAAGTGGATAGGAGTAGGACATGGGATGGGGAAGGAGGAAGGTAAAAGCAAAAGTAGGGAGGGGAATGTGGGGGCTGTGCACTAAAGGAGACAAACTGGTGATAGAATGATAAAGAAAACTGTTCCTGAAGGGTGTGCAAATATATCAAATGGCGTAGGGGACTGCTGAGTTTCTCTAAGCTACTTTCTATCCAACATGTTTTCACTCTCCCATGTATACATTTTTGTGTTTCTGCATCATCTAACATTCTGGTAACCTAAGTTATTTTCTTGTGCAATGCTTATTTTTATATATAATAAGAGAGGAGAAATTCTGTACAAACTTAAACCTCAAGCTCAGAGGAAAACAAACACGCACAACCTTTTCTGATCTGAACTAATCAGGTCTTTCTTGTCAGTGACCTCTGTAATTAGAACATGTTATCATGAATTGTTGTCCCTCCTCATTCAGTCTTTTGTATTTGGAAGGGTCAGCAGCTGAGTGTTGTTGACAGAAGAGGAAATGGCTCTGTCAAGATGAACGTGTTTTTGCTTCATGTGGCTTCTGTGTTTTGCTCTATATAAAACTTTTCCTAGTGTGACTTCGGAATGATTAGGTCCAAATAGGGATTGATAAAAACCAGTCTTGTTCATGTGGTGCTGCATGAACAGGTAGTTAGAAAAGGATCACGCAGCCAGAGTGACCTGAAAGAGGTTTTTCTATGTTAACTAGTAAAAGGAAAATGTAACCCATCCTTCTGGGTTACTGTGTGATACTTGTTTATCTCTGCAAGATGCTTTTGTGCTTTGAGTAGCTCCAGTGAAACTTTTTCTTTATGTAAATGTTGAAAAACCATTTTTGAAAGCTGGAATTTTTCCGCTTGTGTACACTAAAAAATGAATAAAGAGGAGTTGCAGAGCAGCTGCTTTTCTGGTCGTGTTGTATAGACAGCGCTTTTCTTGATTGCATAATGTCCTAGTGGTAGTTACAGCTTCTACTTGGGGGGCATATTGATAAAGAATTAGGTAGGCTGAGGTGCTTAGCTGTCACTCTAATGAAATCTAGCAGCCTGAGGTGAGGAGGTACAGCATAGGCAAAGCAGTGCTCCACAGAGCGCAGTTCAAGTGACCCTTGTCTAAGGCAGTAGGTTAAGGGAGCTGATTAAGGATGCTTTGGATCTGAAGCAAGGGTTTGGCTCAGTGAGGAATGGGCTGTTAAGCATAGCATAGCCCAGCTAACAACATATCTTCCCCTGCTCCCCTTCAGAATCCATTGATGCTCAGTAGAGGAGGAATTTGCACAGGGTGGTACACTGAGACAGCTTGGACTGCGCTGCCTGACCCAGAGACCTGCTGCACTTCCATGGCTGGCACTGGAGTGCGCATCTCTTACTGCCACTTTACAAGCACAGATCATGCTTTCTCCTTCCAGCAGCTCTTAGGTGCCTGGTGAAATGTCACAAAAGCCCTAATTTTGGCCCATGTTCTAATTCACCTGTGGGAGGCTGCCTATGGTTCAGGCAATTATCTGCCATACATTTGTAGTTACGTGACAGGTCTGGCTTGTAACGGGTCAGGCTTGTAACAGGTCAAACTATCCCATCTTAATAACAATAAAACTTTTTGAGCTGAATCTTGTGTTGGTAGAGTGTCTCAGTCCTTCTGGTGCCCTCTCAAATGGCTTCCGTATTGTTAAAATTCCTCTTTTCAGTGCAGTCTGTTTCTTCTGTCTTGAGATGTGTAGGCTGTCATGCTGTGACTTGATCTCAACTTTACCTCAAGCACTGTGTCCTGGTTCATGTTTCCACTCAGTCGGAGAAGAGTTACTTGAGTGCTGTTTCATGCTGTCCTGTGGTACGTGATGGCAAATTCCACATTGTCTTTATTGATCCACAGAGTAAAACCTTACTGTTGATCAAGCATTGCTTGAATAGACAGTCCTTGGAGTTTGCTGTTTTCTTTTCAAATGTATTTTCCTGGCTTCTGTAAAACACTGGCAAGGATGTAGAAGCTGAAAAGGGAAGGATAATGCCTGGACCACAGGATTATCTTGAGGCTTGAGGATCCTCCTTGGCTGCTGATAACATGTATTAGCTTGGGCAAATCACTTAGCTTTTTTTTTTAATCTTAATCTTCCCCTCTGTAAAATGGGATAGTAGCACTGCATGACTTCACTAAGGTAGCCATAGTAAGGAATGCGAGAAGCTTCGAACGGCGGTTGTTAATAACACCTTAGTGGGACCTGAAATAGGGAAAAGGGGTGGTAGAGGTCTTTGTTTTCTTGGTCAGGGTACCATTTATAACCTGTGAGGACTGAATCCATTGGGTTCGAGCTGATTTCCTGTGGAAATCGGGGAGATTCACAGTTTGCAAAAAAGCTGCCACCTTTTTCCTTCTTCCACTTTGAGAGTCTGCTGCCACCTTTTTCCTTCTTCCACTTTGAGAGTCTGTTGTCAGTCCTTCTCTTTGAAGAAAAATGTGAGAAATGTTGTGTTGGTGACTTGTATTCTGCAGTTTTTCCAGAAACAAACTAGAAAATTTTGAAGATTGCAAACCCAGAATAGCTTCTTGTTTTATGCTTTCCAAGCTTATAACCAAGCAGAAGCACGAGTAGATGCTTATCAGAAGTGAGGCACATATGGAAAATGTGGGGAGACTATACAAGAGGCAGTAAAGAAATTCAGAAGGCATTGAAGAGCAGTGTTCAGGCTGTCTAAATACCAATTTTCTTGACACTTCCCATGATAAAATGAAAATGATCATATTTTTATGAATATAACTTAGCAGTTAATAAGGGGTTTAAGTCACCATGCACATACTCTACCTGTCCCCCCCCCACCATGCAGACACATGTGATTTGTTAACCATGCAGGTTGTATGCATATTCAATGGATGCATGATGAAGTTTCATGTAGTAGTCCTACCCCGTTCTTCTACTAGCTCTTTTCTGAAGATAACATGAAGAGTTATTTACAAATAAGCATACTATTTTAAGAGTGTTTGAAAATACTACTTAAAGTGCTAACCGGGAATGTTCTTGTTTCTTGAAAGCTGGAAACAATGCAGAAATGGGTGCTCTTGTCATCCTTGCTTACTTGTATCCTGCTCAGTCACCTGAGAGGTGACCGCAGATCTCCACAGATCTCCTCCTGGATCACTTTAACAAAATGGCTTCACAACCTCCTGCTGCAGCGATTTGAAACTTGCAGGTGTTAGCTGCTTTTGGAAGGTTGTCCTGGACATCTCATGAGATTCTGTTCTTATGTCCTGTACTTGGTTTTGGGAATAAACTCTTTTCTCTCTCCCCCACCCCGTACTTGTTGTTCTGCTGTGTTGTGTGTGCATTTTCGTTTTTTTTCCTTAATGTAATTCTGTAGTGAAATTTGTGTACAAATGCTACTATACAGCTTTGTCTTAGTGATGTACAGATCAGATTTCTTCATGTAATAAAAAGAATGTACTAACATGTTCCATCTGGCATCTCCCAAAGTCTGTATTCTGCAGCGTCTATATGCTGCTAAAAATGAAGATTTTCTTCAGAGTTTAGTAACCATTCTGTTGATGATGCATCAGTTGGAGTAGAACCTGTTCCTTCATGGTCTGATTGGATGAGAATGGGTTGATTATACCTGTTCATACCACTGAAGGAACCAAAATGTGTAGCCAGTACCCTAAGTAACTACAGGTTTATATAAGAACCAGGTACGTTCAATATGAAGAATTGATTTTTTTTTTCCTGAAGAACAGGCCTTCAGAAGAGGCATGGCCCAATTCTTCCTATCATCAAAGTGAAATTCTGTTGAAGTCCAAGAATCTGCAGCTGTTAAATTATCTGCTGGCAGGTTGTCTGGTTTTGTGTCCTCAGGAGTGAGCATTTTTAATAGCACTTCTTTGACTGATGACAGACGTTAGCAAATTGATTGACTGCCTGACTTTTACACAGCTTTTAACAATAACCTGTAGTGTAGACAACAGAAGCTGTCTTGTGCATCAGTTGGAAGATTTATGGTTTGTTATTGGAAGTAACTTAGTGAAATCATATAGAATATGACACAGTTAGCAAGAAGAGTCCCAAAATATAGCCTAAAATTACTAAAAAGAATAAAGTCTTCTGTGGTATAGAGGAAAATGGAAGAAAAATGAGTAATAAAGTCTGTAAAGAGTAGCTTTGAATAATGGAACTAGGTCTGTAGTGACTGTAGTCTGACTGCAACATCAGGTAAGTTAAAATTTTTGGTGGGTAAATGTTGGTAGCATCAAGTTCTTCATTTGTTCCCGAGGGGCTTTCTTTTCTGATGATCTCAAACACAAAATTTTGAATTGATACGGAGCATGGGGAAATTGCTGTGTTTTGAAGGGCACTTAAAATAATTTCTAGTGTTGAAATGTAGCATAATACATGGGACTGGTCCTCTAGAAGGCTTTTTCAAGAGGAAAAAGAAAGCAAACAAAAGAAAACAAAAGAAAACCAAATACTTAAAATATTTGACGTTGCATAGACATACTTGTGACACAAATGAGATCTGTAAATAAAGTAATTACTTTGCTTAAAATATTACATGTCATTTCAGAGATTTTAAAAACCACAAAAGCTTTGTATATAGATTTTAATGCTTATGAAATCCAAATATGTTTGGATATGTTGACTGACTGGTATGATGTGAGGAAGACTGAGAGCAAGCACTTGTCTGTTTTGTCATCCTTTAAGGGAAAATAAGGCAGGTTTTTTCTCTAATTGCATCTAAAAGCTTTGAGAGAGTGATCTGCTTGAGAGACTGCAACAGACAAAACCTTGTTATGAACAAATTTATTTCATGTTCATTATTGATTATCCTTTAAGAGACTTCACATACATATAGAGAATAGTCAAAAGTTATGAATAAGCTTCCTGCTGCTGGTTGGTAATGAGTCTTAGCAGGAATTGCATTGGATGGGAAATAGAAGCCTGTTAGAAATAATACTGTAAACGGAAGAAGAATATAGCTCTAAGTTTTAGCTTCAACATGTCCAGTTATATAAATCAGAAATGTCCCATACTAAACAGTTTCTAAACTCTGTCTTGGGTATGCTAGTAGTCACTTTACTTTCTGTGAAAAATTGAAGCGCATACTTTTGATTAGGCCTTTTTTAGTATTTCCTTGGCGCTTCTGCAGTAAGCTCATCACATTTTATACTCAGGTTGAGACCCGAGATAGGGAGAAAGTGTCACTTAAGACGTTTCTTCCGACGTATGTTTGAGTTTAACGCTGCAAAGTAGAACTGAAAGCAGAAGAGAAGTATGGGAGAGATCCCTGTACTGTTGCTATCAGTTCAGTTGTGATGAGGGTTAAATCTTAATATCACTTTCCTTGACTCTTGAATAATGTTTCTTTACAGCTAATTTAGTTTGCAGAGATGTTTAATGATGGAACCATACGTGTCTTCACATAGCTGGCTTTGAAGAGCAAGAAGCTAAGCAGAATGTAACTTCTTGGGGAACAACGAGATGATGTTTAGTGAGGAGGTTATTTTATATAAATGTAGATTCCTGATACTGAAGGTAGCTTCATGTGAAGAATATTCTTAATTTTCTTGTTTGATCACAAGGTGTCTAAAACTAATACTCTGTTCCACTCCTTGTTCCTCAGCTCCACTTTCCCAGTTATGCTCAAAGTTGCTGTAACACTAATTTGCCTGGAGAAGTATTGATAAAGTCTCACTGTATGTTTGATTGGCGGTCAGATCCCTCTGTCCATCTTGTAATGAAGTTTTCTGTTCCAGATGCCCAGCTTTTTCCAGTTTTAGAATTAACTTATAGATGTCAGGATAGAAACACTGTACACTGTATGTTTGATTGGCGGGGCGGGTCCCCTTCCTCCTCCTTTTTTTTTTTTTTTTTTAATTTCTTTAGTCATGCACACTGATTAGGAATTTTTTTTTTATTTCTGCTGAAGAAAGTTTTTTTTTTAATTTCTTTAGTCATGCACACACATGATTAGGAATAAATTTAATCATATTTTGGGTTTTACCTGAAAACTCTTCTATTCTGGAACTACAAGTTCTGAAAACATGAAGGTGGGTAGCTTTTTGTTATGATGTATCAAAATAACCAAGTTCTGGGTCTAAAAAAAAATCCTTTATTTTCATGGAAAATTAACTTGGAACTAGAAATGTGAATAAAACTTGTCATTTCAAGCTAGCGTTTTCTTAATTAACAGAATATAGTGGTTAAGTAATTTGCTGTGGTTGGATTATGAAATACCAAGGTGATAATACTTTCATGCTGTTGACAATACTCTAGCAAACAATTCATTGCAGCTGTGTTGGGCAAGCATGTACATCAGTTGTAGTAAGTGAAAGTTTGTCCTGCCATGTCAGTGATGTATTTGTGCCTAGGACAAATGTGAAGATATAGATTAGTCTCTGGTTGGATCTTGCCATCCAAAAATTCAGTAGACAGTAGCTTACTGATGTCACCAACATTGACTTGGCAGAATTGTGTCCTCGATGCTTGATATTTTCATGGCTCTTTCTAATTATACCATTATCTTTAATTTTTTTGCAGGTTGGGAGGTCAACAGAAAGCCCCATAGACTTCGTAGTAACAGATACTATTTCTGGAAGTCAAAATAATGATGAAACCCAGATTACGCAAAGCACCATATCCCGTTTCGCATGCAGGATTGTTTGTGACAGGAGCCCACCGTACACAGCAAGGATTTTTGCAGCTGGATTTGACTCTTCTAAAAATATATTTCTTGGTGTAAGTACTACTAATAATTGTTATGTACGAGCAAACTCCGTTTTTTATTCTCTATTATTTTCAAGCCCCCGAATTCCCTTGTACTAGTTGATAACTTATGCTGTCGTTAGACTTTCATTACAGCAGTGTACCAGCTGCAGCGTTAAGTAGAAACTGCAGTTTTATGTGCCAGACTTATTACCAGCATGGACTCATGGTCATAATTGTCTTTAACAATGAAGCTCTACTTTAGTAACTGTTAGTGGATTTTCTTTAGGTTTGTTTGATATATTCTTGATAGTCATTGTGAATAAGCCGCTGTGGCAGTTCTGAGTGCTGAAGACCAAGGAGCGCATCAGCTGTGTTATGGAAAAGGATGTGCCCATTGCAGTGGTATTCCATTACTGTAGTTAGGAGTATGCTACTGACCTTTGAGGCCTTAACTCTTACCTGACCTGCAGTCAGAGGCACAAGTTAAAAATAATAATATTTAAGATAGAATAGTAATTGAAGATGCATAATCAAAAGATGTTACTGCTTTGGCACAAGGTGTTCTTAAAAATGCTTTTTTTTTGTAAATCTATGTCTAAGCACTGCTGGCTGGTGAGGAAATGTTTTAGACAGTGCTAGTAAAACTTTAGTCCATAAACTTTTAGACAAACTCTTTCTTTCCTGGGGTGGTTGTCACATGCAGGAAAAAGCAGCAAAGTGGAAAAATCCTGATGGTCACATGGATGGATTGACAACTAATGGGGTGCTGGTCATGCATCCAAAAGGAGGGTTCACTGAGGAGTCTAAACCTGGAGTTTGGCGGGAAATCTCAGTCTGTGGTGACGTGTACACTCTCCGGGAAACCAGATCTGCTCAACAAAGGGGGAAACTCGTAAGTTGAAAGTAACTGGTAATTAAAAAAAAAAACCAAGGGATACTTGTTTTCCTGGCATTGAGTGGAGGCAGTCATAGGGTGACTGCAGAGTAATAGCGTTGTTCCTGGGTAGTGGGCACTGAAATCGTCTAAGTAGGTGTGTGTTACAGTAGATTCTGTACTGCTGTTCTGCTTCTGCTTATACAGGAGAACACTCTTTAAGTTTTCTGCTAATGTCACTTTTCCAACTGAAATAGCATAGAGTGTAAAAGCTAAATAAACTTTGCTCTTGAATCTCCATCTCTGAAATGTTCTTCTGGGACGTGGGGACATCTGGAAGTTACTGCATGGGGAGCTGCCTTTTGCAGTACTAGCTTAAAAGGAAGCGTCCACTTGCATGCAAAACAAGTTTGGATAACGCAGCTTCTGTTTGATTTACCTGCCACTAGGAGGGTAAGAGAAGCCCTGCTACGTATATTCCTGTTTTCTCCTGTGAAGCAGGATGGGCTTTGCCTTTACCAAAAGTGAGAGATTTCTGCTGCTGCAGAGACCTGTGGCATACATAACCAGGAGAGGTTTCCATGAAAGAATGTGTCCGCTTCTCCATAGAAGATGGAAGGGAATTCCCATAGCTCTCTCTTCTTTCCCCTTCCCAAGGTTTGTGGAGCCTAGAAGGGAGAATGCTATCAGCACTCTTCCTTCTTCCCCCCCCTAGCCCTCAAAGAAAAAAAGCAAAAAAAGTCAACCACCACCACATAGAAGTAGCCCAGCAAAGTACAGAGAGCGCCATGTTCCCACTCGGGCAGATGAGCTTTTCCAGAAGTCGTCTTTGTCTCTGGGTAGGTTAGAATGCTGTGCTGCCTGCGGACATGGAAGAGCCTTCATGGTTCGCTCCTCCTGCTTTCTGTTAGGATTCAGGAAGTGAGAGGATGTTCAAGGGGCACCTTCACTGTAACTGAAGATGCCCCGTCTCTTTTGTAACTTTTATCACCCAGCTGCTAGAGTTTAAAGACTGAGAAAGGGTGCGTGGCGGGGGGGGATATCCTTCTCTTCATGCCAAAGTTGCTTTGCTGCTGCTACCTTGAGTTCCCATTAGCTTGATGGTGTTACAGAGGTATCCCACATACTCGCACTGAACTGGCTTTCCAGTTTTGCCATTGACTCTGCAGAATACTGACTGCTTAAAGGAGCTAGGAAAATGGAGTTTGAATATTTTGTTCTGCTTTCAGTAGACAGCCTGCAGTACATAAACTGCTTTGTCACTTTAATGGTGGCAGGCAAACATCGCCTTGGGGACTGGGACAGATGATGTTGCAATTGCACCCTTTGTATGTGGCTAGCAAAACACCTTTTTAGTGCTGCTAAAGAAAGGCATACTAAAACAAATAAATTCCCTTCCCTGCATCCAAAATGACTTGAATTCTCGTTTAAATAAAATTACATGGCACACTGGTATTGATGTGATCAGTACTCGTTGATTGGGTTCGTAAGACCAAATGCACTCTGTATAATGAATTGAACACATTGCATATGAGAAAGCTTTTTGCTTTGCTGTTTGTGAAGGAATTATCTGAAAAGTGCATCAAATCAAGGCTTCTCTCATCTCTACTTGAACCGCCAAATTTTTCTGCTGGAATTACTTTATACTGGTGACCTCTTATCTGTAGTACTTGAACCGCCAAATTTTTCTGCTGGAAGTACTTTACACTGGTGACCTCTTATCTGTATTGTACCATCTAGGTGTTTTGTGCAAGGATGATCCACAGTTAATCTGTGAATTTAAACTGGATTAAAATGTAAATGCCAAATTGGTTGTCATTCATAGTATTCTTAGGCAGACATGATGATTTCATGTGACCTACTTAATGCATTTGTTTGTATTTGGGTATTTGTTTTGCCTTAGTGGTATTTTCTACCTACTTTCTATGTATAAAGCCAGGCAGTAGGTCTGTTTTCCTCTTTAATTTCATAAAGAACTTTTTTAATATATATTTGTCATTTCTGAACTGGTAGCAATAGCACAAGTGGCTTATATGTTTGTGACATTAAAATAAATATTTCAGCAAAGTACAATGTGTGTTTGGCATAATCCCTTGAAAATGTTTTAAGTACCTGCTTTTAGTCAGATGAGAGAAACCTTTAGGCAATGCACATTGGGGCTGTATTTGCATGGAATACCTCATTAAATAAAGGGCCTAACTAGTTGGGGTGGTTAATTGTTCAGAAGCTGAGCCTCTGTGGCTTCAGTTGCAGAACTTGTCACTTGAGAAATTCAACTGGTAATTCACTCTGCTGTAATGATCTCTGCAAGTACCTGTGCATGTAGCTAGTTTTGCGTTTGTCACTTATCCCTAAGGTATCTGTGGAAGAGTTTCATTGTTGATGAGGTATGCTGTGGGAGTTCATGCTTCTGCAAAATGCTTTACACTTGCCACAAGCCAAAAAAAATGGTATCTGAATGGCAGGACAGCTGGTCTGTCCTGGGTAGCAGTTTTTAGTCCAAAAAGGATCTTTTGCTGCATGAGCAGCCTCTGCCAGTCTACCTGGGCAAAGAATTCCAGGGGAGCAATCTGCTAATACAGCCCTTAGGGAATGGCAAGTTTCCTCTTCAGTCTATTGTGACTTACCTTAAACATGACAAAGGCATATAGAGAATCAATATTAGAGAGAAAAAGTAGCATGCTCAAAGGTAGGGGGTATTTGTGAAGAGGTTAGTGATCACTAACGTAATACCTTTCCCAAAGAATTACAGGCAGGAAGACTGTGTATAATAATTAGTATTGCCATAGCGTGTAACAGTTGCAAATTTAGGACCTCTTGTACAAGTACAGAATAAGAGACCAGTGCTCATTATAATCTTAAATATAGGATAAGAGACGAGAGGTGGATTCAGACAAATGGGGGGCCACAAGGAAACAATAAGATAAAATTAGGTAGCATGCTAGGGAGGGTAGTGACTTGGTGAGAAAGACGATGCGTTTACAGAACTAAGTTGTCTGTAGAAGCTCTCAGGCTTAACTACTTATCCTTGTGTTCTACCACTAGGTAGAAAATGAGACCAACGTCTTACAAGATGGCTCTCTCATTGACCTGTGTGGAGCCACCCTTCTGTGGAGAACGGCAGATGGACTGTTTCACACTCCGACTCAGAAACACATTGAAGCTCTGCGACAGGAGATAAATGCTGCCAGACCACAGTGTCCTGTTGGGTTAAACACTTTAGCATTTCCCAGCATCAACCGTAAAGATGTGGTAGAAGAGAAGCAGCCTTGGGCATACCTCAGCTGTGGTCATGTTCATGGCTATCACAACTGGGGACATCGCAGTGACACAGAAGCCAATGAGCGGGAATGTCCTATGTGCAGAACCATTGGCCCCTATGTGCCTCTCTGGCTTGGTTGTGAAGCAGGCTTTTATGTGGATGCTGGTCCTCCAACTCATGCTTTCACCCCTTGTGGACATGTGTGCTCTGAGAAATCTGCAAAATACTGGTCTCAAATCCCACTGCCTCATGGTACTCATGCATTTCATGCTGCCTGCCCTTTTTGTGCAACACAACTGTCTGGGGAACACAACTGCATCAAGCTGATTTTTCAGGGTCCAATTGACTGATATCACTTTGCAATGACCACAATAACATTTTCTTTAACAATTTACTGTGAAGATTTTGCCACTAACTCTAGATTTTACCTTTTTTTATAATGTTATTAATAGGGTGGTAGGGTGGGGATGGGGAACTGACAAGGCAATTGTGAGGGACTGTGGTGGAATTGGGATACATTGATACCTGGAACTTGGCAGATATCAGTGGTGTTGCATGCTCAAAAGCAGCATATTCATGAAGTCTTCTTGGTCAAATTGTAGTATATTTGTAATCTTTTTATTAGTACCCTGGATCAGAAAAAGGTGTCTTAATGATTTTTTTAAGCTAAGATTTTTTTAATGGGAAGGTTTTTTCTTCTAAACTTTGACAAGCCTTGAAAACCTATTTTTCAAATCTAGAAGGAACATACAGAATGTAACTGTCTTTAATTTGCAATATAATTTAACTTGAATAGTTTCTCAAGGAGCTAATACAGAATGTGTGGACAACCATAGGTGACTGTTCACTAGAGATAATTGGATATGTAAGAGAAAAATTAGCTGCCTAAATTGTAGAGTATAAAAGCTATGAAAATATCTATTATGGTATAACACAGCTGGCCAAAAAGGCATAGGATTACTTTTGAAACTGAGGAAATCCTGTTTGCATTGATTTCCTTTCAGTGTAATAGATATCCACTGTTCATTACGTATGTGAAACTGCTTTAATTTTTTACATACTTAGTTCTGTTTTTAAGCCAGTGTTCCGTATATGTGTAGTCTGGCCTTTTTATTTCTGCTTAACTTAGCTTGCCCTAACAGCTCCTTGCATGCCCAGGACCATTGGGTTGATTGAGATGTAGCGAGCCTTTACGAACTGCGTTAATGAAGGGGTAGTGCTGCAGCAAGACAGAAGGTTTAGGTACAACTTATACAGAACTTATTTACATAGACCTGAGTTCAGGAAAGCACTTAGTTTGTTTTTAAATATAAGCCCACGGATGGGACTCTTTAGATTCTCAAGTGCTTCAATGGATTGTGGTTATACGCTGTTATGTTTTGAAATAAAAAAGCAATTAAAAATAAATTATTTTTTTAAGCTCACTTACTAGCCAAAGTGCTGTAAGGAGAGCATCATTTCTAGTTCAGCTGAGTATTTTTGTTCAGTTTTCAACTTGCTGCCATCTGTCACTTTTTTTGCAGATTGAGATGTGTTTGTATCCATTTTTTTCCAAATGTTTGCAAATCAAACAACATTCAAATGTAATCAAATATATGCACCAGGGTGGTACATCTGAAGTGGATCACTTGAAATTCCTGACTTTTTAAGAGAGCTGATAAATGTTTACTATGGAAATAATTAAATCAGAATTTCATATGAGATGTACCCCGCCCGCTGTTAGTTTCATTTCATGCAGAATGATAACTCTTTGACTTGTGGGTTTTTTTTTCCTTTTGCTTTCTGTACTCTTGGTATCTGAGGTATCAATCTATCCAGGTTTAAAAAATAATTTGGGAGAAAATTACAACATCTCTAGATGAAATTGATCATTCAAGCTCAGTTCTGTTTAATCAACTATAGCTTTTCGCTATATTTGTGCCCTTTGTATAAATATATAATTTATATGATTTTAATATATTCTGTATATGTATACTTGAATTGGCCTGTTCATTTTTTGGTTGTAAAATTGTTTTATAGTTAACCTTATAAACATTTTACATGTCCCTTGCCAATGGTGGTGGGGCGTACTTTGTCTGCTGCTGTTTTTAATATAATTTTGCTGTATAAATGTTCAGCATTTTAATAATTTTAAAATAGCTTTACTTTTCTTTTTATGCTTTTGCTGTTAAAAAAAAAATTCTGCAGCATTTTCTCTAAAAATCCCAAATTGTACAGTTTTTGTCCCACTCGGTGATTGGAAATAGGATGAATCTTGTTAACCTAAAACTGTATGCTTCTTCCTAGTGCCTTTTCAATGAGATCCTCTTGTGATTCCATATTCCAAGTCCTTACTCCCACAAGACAACCTTGTGGCTAATCTTCATCAAGAGTGACAGCCCAACCAGATTGGGAAGAAACGCCTTTGGCCTTCAATTCCTTGTCGTGGTTTCTGTCATAAACGTGAAGGTGCCTCTTCCTTGTTTATATTCAATACAAGTTCCTCAGGTCCCATATGCATACTGCAGCATTATTTCTATTTAGCATATACCTCATCTGTGAGAGGCAGTCTCACCTCCACCTCGTTCTTACTGGGCTCTGTTTGTCACAGGAGATGCTATGAAAACACGCTTTCATGAAAACATGCTTTCAGGAACCGCTCCTTGTTGAATTGAGGCCATGAGCCGTGTGTTAAGGCTGGTGGCCAGAGGTCTCGAGCTCTGTGTACAACAGCCTCACCGGTCTGGGGTCACAACTGTATTGCTGAGCTGATCAGGACTTGCATGCGTAGTCTCCCTCTGAGCAGAAACGGATTGTAAACGCGCAGGTTCCCAGGCATCTCCATTATCGAGCTGCTTTGCTTTCTTCCTTCGCTGTTGCAGTCTAATTGCTGCTTCAGGGCTTCGCATAGCTATACCCTGTGCAAAGTGAATGTACAGTGTTAGAGGAATCCTCACTGGAAACACTAGCGCACCATCTGGTTGTGGTCTGTTTGGCTTGCATGAAGTGGAAGACTGGCCAATGGTTTGTATCCCAGGGAAGCGTCGGTTTGAAAAGACTGTTTTGAGTGAGATTTTTGTTTCTTTCACTGTCAGCAATTCTTTCACTGTCAGCAATTCTGTGTAACACAAGAAATACTGCAGGAAGGAAAACTCTCCTCTTACCTGGGAAACAAACTTCCGCGGTTCCTTTGCATGAATCCAGGTACTTTGCTATTAACCAGTATTCAAATCTAGGGCGAGTCCCGCAGAGCTGGATTTACTGGGAAGGCAGAAGAGTTCATAGCATTAGTTTTCTCAAGCACTACTGCCACATATGCTGCTCTGATCAAATAATGGACCATTTGCCTGCTTAGCCCTTTTCTCCTTCCCTCGTCTCAGTAAACACACACCTTCACTGGTCTGGTAACTCAGCAGGAGAAAGTTGTTTCTGGATAAATAGGACGGGTTCTGTTCGGAGTGAGTAAACTTAAGAACCACCCCCAAACTTTGTTTTGAAAGTTTATTTTGTGATTTCAGTGTTATGATATTTCTTGCGTACCATTTCAAATGCTGGCAATGTATTCTGTAAGGATTTTTTTTCACCTGTTACTGTTGATTCTATTTGAATGCTTCAAAACCAGCTTTGACTGCATAACTTAGAGCTAAAAGTATTTTTCTAGTCTGATCTTAAAGTTTGTCATATCCATGCGCGCTGGAGCTGTTAACACTTTCCTTTTTCCTGGCAGCTGCTTGATAGAGTGCTGACATCTAAATAGATGACTGAGTGGTAAGCGTTGCTCTTATTCTGAATCGTGGTCCAAGTTGTACAAAAGAGTTAGCGTGATACTGCATTTTAATCACAATTTTTTTTCAAGTGTGGTCACTTTGTGCCTCAGGGTACAGTAATAGTACTGTACCGGCAGAGTAATTAAGGATTTTTTTTTTCTTTGTGAGGGTGGGAGTGGGGCTCAGAAGAGACGAAAGCCGTTGTCGGGCTGGTTCCAGTAGGGACAGACCCACCTTGAAGCAAAGGCATGTCAGGAACTGATCAGAAACGTAATTGTAGCTGTTCCCGCTGTCAGACCTGGTTCATGCTCTATAAAGGATTCCCTCAGTTCGTTAGGAAGCTCCAGGATGAAATGGAAAGGCTGTGATCTTTCCAACAAAACACTTTCGGTGTTTTAATGGCAGTTCCTGGAATTTGAGGGTTGTGCTTCAGAGCCTGACTGGGGAGCAGAGGTACTGAGTGTATCATAGTGAGAAACCGCAATAGTCTCTGACTAGAACGTACTTATTTTTTAACTCCGCACCCCACCCAAAAGAAACTGTTGGTTTCAACTGTGGTAACTTTCCCTTCGGTGCTGTTGCAGTAGCTGATCCCTTTGCTCACCATTTTTTCATTCTTCTGGAAGTGGAAGGAAGCTTTTCCAAGACCGTCAATGTTTCTGTTCATCCAGCTCATAGTCTTGACGCTTTTCTGGGGTCAGAGAACTGTTGGTAGTGATCTGGACATCACGAGAACCGATAGAGGCATTTAAATGCATTTTTTAGTGTGGTAGGAAAACTGACCTGGCTTGACTCCTGCTTTTGCTTAAAGTTGAGCTGCAGATACGCTTTTGAAACGAGCTGTGCTTGTCCGTCCTTCATAAAGGAACGCTCTGTCACGGGCGGTTAAGCCTTCTTTTCCCTGAGACTGTTGTTAACATGCCGCGTTGGATGGGAAGTGGAATCGACAGGTAGAGCTGTTGATCGGAACAGGTGGGAACAGAAGTCTGTTAGGTGCCTGAGCCCAATAGGTGTGGGCAGCCCAGCTATTCTGCAGTATTCTGGCCAAGGGTTCCTCCTCTTCCTCGTTTGCTGAGTTTTCAGCCTCTTGTGAGTTCTTGGCTCCTCTCATTTTCTATTTATCCATGTAGTTGCAAGTAAACAAGTAAACATAGCTTGGAAAGAAACAAGGAAGAGAATTAAAAAGATACCTTCAGGCTTGCTTATCTTTTCAAGGAAAATATAAATTGGAGTTGCAAATGCCTTTTGCAGATTTTCTCATTATTCTGATTTTTATGAGCACTCTTCATGAGTTTCACATTTGGTGTTGTGAATTAAAAGGAAAAACTCAGAAGGCAAGGCTGGTTTTTTGGGGGGGTGGAGAGGGGGTAGTTCCTAGGATGAAGCCGCGGTAGTTCTGCAGGCCCTGTGCAAACCGTGTCCCGTTGACTGCAGCAGACGCTTCGGTCTTGAAAGGGCAGTAGAGTCAGCCTCGGCAGGTAGTAAAGATAGAGCTTTACTTCCCGTGTTGATCAGAGTTTTCATTTATTGGCAGCGGAACAAAAATACGAGTTGCTTGGACAACCAAACTGCGGATGAAACTGGTGGCTGTCAAGATTCCCTTTTAATGGGGCGTATAGGACAAGAGGAAATGGCCTCAAGTTGCGCCAGGGGAGGTTTAGATTGGATGTGAGGAAAAATTTCTTTACTGAAAGAGTGGTGAAACATTGGAACAGGCTGCCCAGGGCAGTGGTTGAGTCCCCATCCCTGGAGGTATTTAAAAGACGAGTAGATGAGGCACTTAGGGACATGGTTTAGTGGGCATGGTGGTGTTGGGTCGACGGTTGGACTCGATGATCTTAGAGGTCTTTTCCAACCTCAATGATTCTATGATTTATACTTTCCTGGCGGGCAAGCCGGCCTTCGAGTCACCTGGAAGTCCCTTCTGTTTGTGTCGTGGTGCTTAGGGGTGGGTGTCGCTTTCCTCTTGGATGGAATACGTGGTGGAGAGCCCCTGGAAGGCTGCTCCTTGTGGCGCAACCGTAGGAAAAGTCGCATTCACACAGCGAGCCCCGTACAATGGCGAAGTGACGTTTACCTTTTAAACAGTGTTAGCAGCTGTTTAAAACTTCTGGGTATATTTGTAAAATTGGTCTTTTATACACCACGTGAAATGGACTGAAATAATTTTTGTTGTACCTGTGGAAGTACAAGCCATTTTACAGGAAAAAAAACTTAAAAAAATTAAAATATCTCTGTATTGTCACTGACTCCTTCAGGTTTTTTCCCCTGCTGGTTGGTTGTCAGGGTTTAACTTTGATTTGCAAAAACATATAAATAACTTCAAAAATAAACAGTTTCTCTTACTCTTTGATCCCCTTTCTTCTACTCCTCAACAAACAAAGACCTAAGCCTTTGAGGATTCTTAAGTATTCAAGGTAGTGGAGTGCATTCAGGTGTGAGTGCCCTGAAATTTCAGTTAAATCACTTCCCTGATTTTTAAATTGAACTGTTTGTTTTCAATGCCAACTGCCTTCTTGTGCTGTTAACATAATTGCTAAATAAAAGCAATTTCCAGGAATAATATGCTTTGTGACTCTTAAAATTAATTTCCATAATGGTAATTCAGTGTTTTGTTTGCATCTGTGTATTTGTCCCTTTTTGTATGCAGTCCCTGTGAGTACATAAGCTTCATTTTTTAAAATGAGCAAAAATGAATTGTCAGCCTTTTTTGGTAAGTAGAAAAAAAATGTTGGCGTGAGCATAGGAAAGGGAAATAAGGATATCTGCAGCTTTCTCTGGATGTGGTCGTCTGCCAGCTGGCTATCGGGCTTCCTTGTAATTGAAGAGAGTTAAATACTTTCCAGGGAAGATGCTCCCAGGCGTAACGGGAGAAGCTTTGGATTATTTGTGTGTAACTGTGCCCACCTACCAATAGAAGAGTAAACCCTCTTTCCTCTGGGGCCATCGTTGTCTCTATAGGGACCGGCTTCATTTCAGGACATCTTGAATGTGCTCAGAGTGGCGCTGGACAGGCACTGTGTCAATGTGCTCAGACCGGTCTCTGACACGGTGGGTTTCTGAACGGGGATTCTGTGCTTGAAGGAAAGCAGCGCCCGGGTGAAGAACAGCTGTTCGTACCTGACCGAGAGAGGGATGATCCTATTTTTTTCTTTTCTCCCAAGTAACAAGCGATAGGACGAGAGGAAATGGCCTCAAGTTGCGCCAGGGGAGGTTTAGATTGGATATCAGGAAAAATTTCTTTACTGGAAGAGTGGTTAAACATTGGAACAGGCTGCCCAGGGAAGTGGTTGAGTCCCCATCCCTGGAGGTATTTAAAAGACGA